TATTACATTAACTATATTAACTGGCAAACTAAAGATAGCACAGTACATTGTAGAGGATTGGTTGTTGTGTTGTCTGTTTAAAGGGATTGTTGTGTGTCATCAACCCTGTATAGGGTTTCTGAGGAGGAGCAGGTGGGTTTGATCTGCTGACTTGCAGTTAGCAGCTCAGTGTTTATCCTATAGTGCCACACCAGGACTCCTTTTAAAGGCATGTTGTTGTTGTTAAGTGCCATAGAGTGAGTTCTGACCCACAGTGACCCTGTATAGGGTTTCCGAGGAGTGGCTGGTGAGCCTGAACCGCCGACCTTGTGTTTCAAACCTACTTTGCTGTTTAGTACATTAACCCATAGCACCACACGAGAACTCTCACAGGAAGCGATAAAAATTGGAGTTGGGAACTAAATAGGTTTGTATTCTACTACATTTTATAGAGTAGCATTATGAATTACCAAAAGATTGGCAGGTGATGTTTCTGCTAATAAAGGCCTTAATAATTTGAATGAGACATATGCTCAATATGAATCTAGGAAATTACATTTTATAAAACTGCTCTATTTAAGCAGATGTATGTTTCTGCTTGTTAGAATATTTTGTTTAATGAATTATAGATTGTTTAATTTTGTCTGCTCACAGTTGACTGCCTTCTTCACATATTAACAGAAAAGTTCCATATGATGTTTTTAGTAGTAGGAAAATTTATAGTGAATGATTCCGTAAATATGATTTGTTATGCTTGAGCTGAATGTGTAATATTGAAAGAGTGACAATTATGTCAGAGAAGATGTCATTGTTAAGGTCTTGATTTACTGTTACTGCATTTTATTAATCCCTGCCCATAAATCCTAATAAGATAGTAACAGATTCATTCTTATGTCCTCTAAAATTTGGCTTCAAAATATTATATACTTGTGTTTATATGGTAGCTATATTTTAAATATTTTTAACGGTTCTTTGTAAAGTATAACAGTAATTGATATGTTAGAGAACACAAGTACAAACTATATGTTTTGTGTATTATTATTTTTGTTGTTTAACAAAAGTTCCTACCTTTTTATCTTGAAAATACTTGGTAAATGTGGCTACTTGTTTTAGGCAAGAATGGTAGCAACCAGCTATGTTTTCATGTTAAAAGAGCTTGTTAAGAAACCACATATTGTAATGTGATGCATATCAATTTGTTTTGTTAACCAAAGTGTTTAACTAGAATGCATTTTGGGAATTTGTTTATAATTCATCTCTGAACTTGAACACTGGTGATATATGCTTTAAATAAATCAAGCAACAAATATGTTGTGTTGTAGAAAGTAAATGGATATCAGAATGATCATGAGGCACAGTTTTCAGGATAAATACAGCATGTTGTTTAGAGAATGTCAGGTTGCTACAAGTACTAGAATGAAGGACAAGGAAAAACTCAGGATTTCCTATTGTATTTCTTGAGCTGCAATTTGAAGTGTTTGAGGTTCTTTGTTTGAGTTTTGAAAATAAAAGAGATTTATTATTTATTCTTCCTCATCCAATATTTAATTATTGTGCAGTTGAAGTCTGAATAAGGAAAGAAACTGATAGGACACAGACATGTGAATGACTCTCTGGAAGGAAAGATGTTTTCTGAGTTGTAGCAGTTCTGGTAGGGGGAGTAGAGATTACTAGAGAAGCTCTGCATGGTTTCACTTGTGATTTTTCCTGCTTTTTAGAAAATGCATGTATAGTTTTATACTTAGCACATGTAGGAAGATGCATTATAAATCAGAATTTGAATTTGAATTTGAAAATTAAAATTAGCTTGAAGAGGTTCAGGATTTTTAGTCAGCAAGAAGCTTGTGTTGTTGTTGTTAAGTGCTGTGGAGTCAGTTTCTCTGGAGCTACTGTTGGGTTTGAACCACTGATTTTTTGGTTGGTATTCCAGTGCTTATCCTACAGTACTTATAGGAAGTTTTATTTCTGTCCCATGCTTCTTTCCATGTAAAAAAGAAATTCATTAAAATGTTATACCAAATAAATAGTTCTAGAATTTGGGTCTAGAAAACGCTTTCCCTATTTGAGTTTCAGTTTAATTTGTAATACGAATAAAATTGACCAAGTGATCTACATTACTTTACAACTGTAACATTTTTTTACTCTAAATAAAAGTATTCCAGGTGTTAGATTTTTAAGTACCTCCAAACATAATACCAACAAAGTATGGTGGCTCTGTAGGATAAGCACTGGACTGTGAACCACAAGGTTGGCAGTATGAGCGCACCAGCTGTTCTTGGGGAGAAGCTGTTCTTTTTGTCCCTGCAAAGATGTACAGACCTGGAAACCCTATATAAGATCACTATGAGTCGGGACCAACCTGATGGCACACAACAACAAGAACAAGCATAATACCATCAATAAGACAACAATAGATAAGGTGGTATAGGATGAGGCAATGTTCCATTATATTATATACATAACATTGCCTTGAGTAGGAAGATGACAGCTTACAACAACAACAAAGCATAAAAAGCTGTTTAGACTGTTATTGGTATGTGTAACCACTGAGGAACTACTCTGGAAACTGTTGGGGTTGTCTCATAGAACACTTGAAGTTTGCATGCCTTATGGCTAACTGAACTTTAGCTTTCCTTATGGGTTTGAGTGTATATACTCAGGGTCATCCAGTTTGCATTTTAAATAATCAATTGAAAACTGTTACTACTAGTACACTTTCTTTGAAATTATTTTATAATCCTTAGGTAAATTTTACCTATATTGAAATTGAAAAGTGAAAGAATAGAGAATTTGAAATGACTTATAATAAACTTGAGGAACTTGGTTAAAGACACAGGCTGGTAATTTTGTATTTTAGAAGTTCACTAAAGAACTGGTATCTGTGGTGGTAGATTAATTGGTTAAAATAATTCTGAAGGAGGCAGTTTAGCTGAAAACAAGGAAGGTTAGATACAAGTTCTTAGAAGTTGTAAATCTGTAATAGGTACTGGTAGCGTAGTGGTTACAAATTGGGCTGCGAACCTTAAGGTCAGCAGTTCGGAACTACCAGCTGTTCCACAGAAGAGAGATGAGGCTTTCTGCTCCCATAAAGATTTACAGCCACAGAAACCCTGTACAGGGTCGCTATATGAGTCGGAACTGGTTCCACGGTACATAACCACCACCGCCACCAACATACAAGTAAAATGTTGCTTAAGATGATTAAAAAATGACTGCAGCAGTACATCAGCAGGGAACTGGCAGAAATTCAAGCCAGATTCAGAAGAGGATGAGGCATGAGAGATATCGTTGCTGATTTCAAATGGATCTTGACTGAAAGTTGAGAATACCAGGAAGATGTTTACTTGTGCTGTATTGATTATGCAAAGGCCGGTGCTTATGATTATACAGATCATGACAAGCTATGGACAATATTGTTAAGAGTGGATATTCCAGAACACTTAATTGTGCTCACGAGGAGAAGCTGAATTATATGAGGAAGAGTGTGGCATCAGAATTGGGGGAAGACTTATTAACTGTCTACGATATTCAGATGATAACAGCCTTGCTTGCTGAAAGGAAGCAAAGAGGACTTAAAATAATTACCAATGAAGATTAAGGATTATATAGCTAGCCTTCAATATGGATTGTACCTCAGTGTAAAGAAAACAAGAATCCTCACCACTGTGTCAATACATAACATAACACATGGTAAATGGAGAAAAGATTAAAGTTGTCAAAGACTTTGTTTTGCTTGGATCCACAATCAATACTAATGGAAGCAGCAGTCAGGAAATCAAACGATGCATTGCATTAGGCAAATCTGCTGCATAAGACCTCTTTAAAGTGTGGAAGAGCAAAGATACTAGAGTATTAAGGTGCTCCTGCCCCAAGCCAGGGTATTGTCAGTAACCTTACATGTGTGTGAAAGTTGAACAATGAATAAGGAAGACCGTAGAAAAATTGATACATTTTAGTTATGGTGTTGGAGGAGAATATTGAAAGTACCAAGCCAAAGAACAAATCTATCTATGTTGGAAGGCGTACAGCCAAGAACACTCCTTAGAAGCCAGGACAACCAAACTTGGTCTCTTGGACTTCATACTTCGAACATATTACCAGGAGAGTGAAGAAGAGTAAGTCTGCCAACAAGATGGATTGGCAAAGTGGCGGCAGCAGTAGGCTGAAGTGGAACAATTGTGAGAATGGTGCAGGTCTGGGCAGTGTTTCATTCTGTTGTACATAGATAGGGTCACTATGAGTCGGAAGCCATTTGACAGCACCTGGTAGTACCAACAAATAGGTAACCAATTATATAACAGATAATTGTGAATTCTTTAGAAATGATCTTTTAGGATAGTTTGAAGAATGAACTAAGTGAATGAGTAAGTATTTTTTAAGTTAGAAGCAAGCTTTAGAGTTGAGGAAAATCCAGTATCTGTAGGTCTTTTTATTCTACCTTTCAGAACGTTTTTTTGTGTGAGAAAAGGCTAGTTTGAAATGTGTAAGTGTCACTTAGGCTTTGGAGAGCTAGAATGGTGTTATTTTAGTAGTGTGAACTAAGGATGAAAGCATAGCAAAGATTATCTTGTTAAACTTTAGCACAGTGTTATTTAATACATCAGCAATATGGGTGGTGGAAATCACAGCATGCTTATGAGAATTCCATCGTAGTCACCCATCCCTAACTGTGGCTAACAGGAATAAGTTAAAAGTTGCTAGTAAACAACATGAAATGGAGTTTTTAAGTGTACTTTAAAAAACTAGATTGCACAAAGAGAAATGAATGGTTAAGAGCAATTTATTAAAATATAAATATTTGTAGTCACTATTTTTGGGTCTTAAATGTAATAATTGTTATCACAGACTCAAAGATCATGTGGTTATTTGCTTTTTGTATAATAATAAATGCTGTAGATTTCATTATATCATGCTTCATGTTTAACTACAGTAATTTTATCAAAAGTGAGTTTGTTTGGGATTTAAAAGACTTATTCCATATTATTAAAGAAAATCAATATATCTAATTGTTTACTTTAAAGCTGCAGAAGAAAGAAGATCAGCAATTGGAACTTAAAAAGAGTACCAGCCCTAAAAAAACTGTAGAACCCACTGTTGATCTTTTAGGACTTGGTAAGTAATACACAATAATAATAGTCACCATTAGAATTCCAAAACAATTGAATCCTTTATTTACAATGAATACAATGCTTGTATCTTCAATATGCCAAAGGTACCTGTTAACTGAATTTGACAATGATATATGATTAGTTTGAACTGCAAGTGGGCGGTTCAAGCTCACCAGCTGCTCCTCAGAAACCCTATATAGGGTTGCTATGGGTCAGAACCAACTCGACAGCACTTAACAACAAATGATTAGTTTGTTGGCTTCCCACACACAAAAAAAGATCTTTAATGAGGAAGCTGGTGTCTGTCAGTATTGCCTCTCTAAAACAAGTAATGAGTTCCTTGGGGGAAAGAGAAGATATCAAAGTAATCTTCAAAGGCTTGGTGTAAACCATGACATTTCAACATTTAAAATAAAGAGGCCCGGTTTCTCTCTCTCTTTATTAAAAAAAATTTTTGTTGTTAGTTAAAACTATTTTTTAAAACATTTAAAGGGATTTTCCCCTTTTAGCAAAAGAATTGTAGGATAGCATTTTGTAAGATGTATGAATGTAAAGTAAAATTTCATTTTGGTTAACTGAAGCGACACACTTTACAACTAAACCTAATAGCTGGATTTTTCCCCCTTTCTCTGTTGATAATGAGAAATGCTCATTTTAATTTATTTTTTCTCATGGATGGCAGATACATGTTGCCAGCTTAGTAAGTTACCACATTTATATTTAAGGGGTGTGTGTTCTGTGCAGTGTTTATCTACACATATTGTCAACTGCTTTTTTATAGTTTTTCTTCATTATAAAAGCAACTGTTTTAAATCATATTTGATCCTACATTTTTTTTTTTTCTCTTAAGTTTGGAGAAAGAAGGACAAAGGGGAAGTAGTAAAAAGAAGTTGAAGGATAGAGTTTAACTTCATTCCCTGTTTTTCTAAAACTTTATTTTAGTTCTTATTGAATAGATTATTTTCTGTTTTAAGAATTATAAGTGAATGTTTTATTCATTTCTTAGGAAACCGATATATCATGTAAACATACTACCTGGAGGTGTAATTCTTATATGGTGGTAGAAAGTTAGTATATTAGAAATACAAAAAATAACTGTAATTTGAAAATAGACCTTCCGTCTTGAGGCTTTAAATACTGTTTTAGGTCTCATAACTTCTATATTTCCTTTGCTTATTTTCAAAGTAAGACTATATTTTACTAATACTAAATCCATCGTATTCTTCATTGCAGCATTTCTTTTCCAATCTAAGTGTGTGGTTTATTAGATTATGATTTAGGAATGTAAAATCTTATCCTACAGATTTATTCATCTATTAAACAAATATTATTGGATAATGTAAGAATGTAATTGGGATCATGTCAGGTTTCTAACTTTACAAGAGTGAAAGCTAATTAAACTCAGCACCAGCCCAAGGCCGATACTCAAGAGGTGGAGGTCAGATATGACTCTACCAACCTTCTTTACATTAGCCTGAAGGAGCTCAGCTCATGCTCTTACCAGTCAGCAAACCTAACTTCCCAGACAAAGGCTTGTGAGGCACCCTGCTCTGCAAGCAAGCCTTTTAGACCGGAAAGCCTGATATTCTGTCTCAAGCTCTTGATGTTACTTCCACTTCTCTGCTGATCCTCCAATGTCACAACTGTCTGTTTCCTAGATCAGAGAGATTCAGCATGCAGAGATCTCATGGTCCAAAGGATATGCTCCTCTCTTGGCTTTTTTTTTTTTTTTTTTAATGTTTTATTGTGAATTATGTGATACTTTACATGGGAGAACATTAGTTTT